GCCCAGCGGAGGTCTGCAGGGGCATGATACATCATGTTCATTTTCCATCATTGTTCGGATCAATTATATACATATTCCGGACGGTATATTTTTTTTGGAAAAATATATTCCAGTATATAGGATGCCAAATCGAATCAAAGATCCATATTTTGATTTTTACTGTTCCAACAAAATACTAAATTCTCCTATCGATTGTGTGCAGGTCTGCCGTTGTCAAAAGAAAAGAAAAATGATTGTTGTAGTTACATACAAAGAAAAGTTATTATAGCCCACTGCACACCATGGTGCGACGCTGGTGTTGATGGTGGAGCCACGTCCGTGCCACCGATCGAGCACCCACGGTCCAACTGACGGCAGAGTGGTATAGGAACCGACATGACTACATCCCGCCTGGTGTCAGCACTCAGCAGCCTCCTATACTTCTCCATTTTTATCCTAAAATCCCTAAAAAAAGTTGATCCTGCAACTACAATGTGAAACTACAACGTACGGATGTTGACCACAAATGAAGAAATCTTTTCAGAAAGATCCACAGATGAAGAAATCGATCACCTAAATTAAAGGTTGTGATGTAATGTGTAAAGTTTATTTGTCTTTTGTCATATGAACACATGTTCACCAAATAATATAAGTTTATGCTACTATATTCTTTGCTTTATTCATTCCGTGCTCCTCAAAAATTGATCCTAAGTCCGATAGCAATGCATAGATAATTCATTTTCATATATCATAAAATATATTTCATCCCATCGATGATTCTAATAAAAATAATATCACTCTTATATATTTCACTATTTCTCACTCTATTAATTTTTTTCATGTCAATACTAAATTCCCGTAGCAACGCACGGGACATTATCTAGTTAAATTAATCTTCAAGCGCAGTTCAAAAAAAAATCTTCAAGCGAGCTAGAGGGAGCTGAGCGGTGTTTGGAGCGTGGCGAACCAGTTAGTGTCAGAGCTTCGCACATAGCGATGGAAACAGATCAAAAAATACGAATTGATACATGCATATACCAATATTAGTAGCTAATCGTTTTCTTGGATTTAGATTCGAAAACGAAAATTGTCAAGTGACTTCGAATATCCGGATTCGAACGTAGTATTAGACATTGTATATTTGGATTTTGATATGGATGGATCCGACGGTGACTTGATATCTGAGCTCAAGTACAAAAGGTTCCAAACCCTTCGGACGGAGGGGCAGGCAAAAATATTTCTCCCACATTTCATCCATACATACTCAAGTGGCAGAGTTTGTCCCGCCAGTTTATGTTAGTTCGAAACCATTTATACATGGAGACATATCACAAATCCAATATATGCATGATTTCATCACTGCCTGAAGTGCTTCACATTTTAAATCCTTTCAAAATAGAAATTGATTTATTAATTATTATTGCCACTAACTTGCCAATCCAAATTATTTTCTTTCATACATACTCTTGACGCAAGAAGCAAAGAAGCTAAAGGAGCACGTTTGGTTTCTTGACCTTGGCATTAGCAGCAAGTACAGTCGCAGGGATATGTATTTCATTTCAAGCATGCAAGACTGTAAGTAGTAATGTACTGCTCCGGCATTGGAGGAGGCGAGGAGCCGCAATGAGCAGAAAGCTGGTCACTTGGCCCATTAATAGAGCAAAACATGTGGCCCAGTAGAAACAAGGCAGCCCAATTACAAATAACAGTTCACCAGCTAAGTCATCTTCTTCGTTTCCTCTTTGTGTAGATCGGATCGGCATACCAGCCATGGCGGCGAGCCATCATGCGATCCATACCTTATAAGATTCAATAGTACGTGATATTCGCGAAAAACTTAAGGTATGATGAGTGCCACACACCGCATCCTATCAAGCCCTCCGCCCCACACATGGGGCATGGGGCGGGGGGTTTGTAATGGCTGGCTAATAAGCTAGGCTCTATGCATTATTTTTATATTTTAATAAAAGCGAGAGAAAAGTTAACTTTTGATCAAGAGCTAGGTTCATACACACATTTCAAGATCATGTAAGAATGCCATGTAAGTCTAATCATACTATGAGGCATTGATAAAAGCTAGCATTATTGAAGAGGTTGACTTCGAGCTAGTAACTAACTTTATATCATTGCGGGTGCTTTAAGTAACGTCTCTTGGCATGCTATTGCGAATGGCTAGGGCCTTCCTACAACATGATATTGAATTGGTTTATAGAAATACAATAATAGTATTAGAGTAGATGCAGTGTGTGTTCCAAGATAAATATTCCATGAGTGTAGGTTGGTGTGTGCCGTGCTCTCTGGCACCACCTTCCTTGGGTGCTTGGTTTTGCACCCGCTACAATGAATTAAATAGATTATTTTTTATGTAGTTTCTTTGATCTCTTCCTCTCTGTCTCCATTGTGTCTGGTATATATTCCTTACATTAGACCATATTTTGCTAAATAACTACTTACCTATGTGTCCTAGTTAACAATGTCTACAAAATTTATACACGTCGCCAATACGTCAGCTACGTCACTAACTCAAGGTGTCTTTTAAGCTAACCTGGAGGTGAGAGAGTGAACAAAAACAGGGCGCTAGCAAGGAGGAAAGCGCCAGAGTCGCACACTTCCCGATACTTCTACTATCTTGCATGTGATTTTGAGCCTGTTTGGTTGGCTTCCAAATTTTGCCAAGTCAAATGATTTAGCAACCAAAAGTTGTCAAAAGTTGAACAAAAATATTTACCACGGATTTGATAAGCTAAATTTAAGATATTCGTAAATTTTGGCAACCACCAAATAGAGACCAAAAACTTGGCTTTCCTATGTTTTGGCAATCAACCAATCAGGCTCTTCTTCTTTTTTTCTTCTTTACAGCTTGTTTGCTTTGTTTCACTACCAACTCTCGGTCAGCGAAGTCTCACCGTTGAGGATGCCCTTAGGAGTTTTCCAACCACGACTTTGTGGCTCTTTGTGTATATATCCACCCCTATGTCACGGATAAATAGGGCCAAATGTTCATCCGATCCGCTCCTGTGCCACGGGATAAACAGAGTCAACTGTTCACCCGGCCGGGTCATACCGTCGGGGCGATTTTCTCGTCCCGCCCTCACACTGAGTGGCTCACGAATGTATGCAGACGGACGCGACCAAGCCCATTTTCTGCAACCACACGACAGCAGCCGTGTCGTGTGCATCGTACTACTAGTGGACACTGGACAGGCAGGCTGTGGAGTAGCAGCGCTAGCACGTCTGCTTCTCCCTTGGGCTTCACCGGTCTCCACGGCGGGGAACAAAGAAAGGGACGGCGCGCCACTTGTCGCCTGCACGCGGGGGAAGCGGAGACTTCCGGACACGGCGGGGCCATCGGCGTTGACGCCTCCGTCTCCTTCCGGCTGCGTCTGCGACTGCGTCTGCGAATTCGCTGCCATCCATCACGTGCTTGAATGCTTGATCGATCTCTTCCAGGCAGATCGGCTGGTCGTCTGCTGCTGCTGCGTGCGTGCGTGCAGCGCTGAGCGCCTCATTTTTTTTCCTCTTCGACTTCGATCACTTTCTCTGCTGTCTGTTTTGCTCCGCGCGCGAGTACTACAGTAACTGCCGTGCGCTCGAAGTACTTGAGCAGTACTTTTCAGCGAACGAATATTATTTTTCTCTCACAACAAATCAGCATAAGCCAGATTTCAACGAAACGAATAGGGCAATAGGGATAAGGGGGTGACCACAACGAGGTGTGTGGCCTTCCTTCCATTTAAAGTTTGGGCATTTCATGGATTTGTTTTTCAAAACTCGTAGTGCTCCCTGAGAAGCAGACAAGATATTGTAATTTTTCAGAGCCTTGGACTGAAGATCTTTGTATAATCGATCAGCATATATGTTTATTTTGTCAAAATCAACGTCGATCGAGTCAACCAAACAAGAGGAGGCCAATTCACATGCCAAAATTAAATGGAGACTTCATCACAATAGTAATATTATTATTTTGTTTGGAGCATATATTTATAATTGCTAACATTACGTAGTACTAACAATTGAAGTGAGATCCTTTGGTTTCAGCTGGGAATTATATTATGAATGTTGCCAAAACTGATAAGGCGGCACAAACCATTTGATTTACAGATTAGAAGTAGTAACTCGTACTATACTAAAACACTTCACCACCATCATAATCCAAACACAATAGTTGAAAATATGATCCTTTCAAGCAACAGGATTTGAAGAATCGTGCCAGCTAGTACCAAACGTCGACAGGAGAATGAGATCAGAAACTTCATGGAACTTGCCCTCCGGCCTTGCTTTTTCTCTCCTCGCTCCACCTCTACTACTCCGTTGACTGATCACAGTGACAAGGCACCACGCAGTCAACATAGAAAATTGATGTTCCGGAAGACACCGGAGACACCACCCATAAGCAATTTCCATGCTTTTGAAATGGTAAAGATATAGGAGTAGACCGGAAGAGAGACTATATGACTCTGGAAGCCGACGTCTAACAACTTCTGGTAGAAGCGGTCGTCGTCGTAGCCGCCAGGCTGCACATGTTTCTTCTATCGACAGATCCGTCGTCGATCTGTTGTACTAGATGATAACTTTCTCACAGGAAAAAAAAGGAGTGCAAACAGAGCTGGTCTAACATACTAAGAACAATTAACAGAAATCAAATGTTATGATGACCAAATAAACAGTCTTCACTCTTCACAGCAGTAAATTCAAGGCATTATATTAGACCAAGCATTAACAGGGACAGAAAGATTATTCTTAATAAGATGCAATTGTATGTGTTAACATCTCATCAGTAGATGAAAAATATACAATAATCAATACATATATGTCCAGGACTAATGGAGCAGCCGGGTTATACATGATATAATCCATCAAATCTGGATAGACCAACGGATAATTAATAATTGGTAAAAAGAATTCATCGGAATGCTGAAAATTCTCGATCAGAGACAACTAGATGATTAAAAATCATTCTGCAGGATAATAGTCAGTACTTGTATATATCCCTTTTCATCAATAGTTGTCGTTTAAGGTTTTCAAAGCCGGAGCCATGAGGCAGCAGGCACATCTTTCAAAGCAGTCATCACTTGCTTGCTGTTGGCGGTGGCCGGAACATCTTTCTCCGGTGCCGGGGAGGCCGCCACCTTCGGCTTCGGGTAAGGCTCCATGGTAGCGCCGATCCTGTGACAATCCAGCATATGTTATTACTCCGATCTGCTGTATGTATATAGTATATCTTTGTCGTTCTCGTGCCAAAAGAAATTAAATTAAAGACAAATGAATTATTGACGTGAATCAGATGCATGTGAGCGACGATGGAATCTCTCCTCACCTCTCCTTCCTCTTCTGGAGGAACCTCTGCAGTGACGCCTTCCTCGCGATGGGCAGGTCGGAGGGCACTGCCGCCGATGGCTCGGTGGCTGCCGGCTTCTCTGACCCCGACCCGGCCAGCTGCATCAGCTCCTTGGCCTTGTCGGCCGGGAAGTCCTCGAACACGAGCATCCGGCCCTCGTAGAAGATGGTCAGTGGTGCCTTGCAATTGGCCTGCGCCTCCGCCCTGAAACAAACAAAGTCGCTGTCATCAAATCATCCGATCCACCATGGCCAACAAGAAGCTCTCTCTCATCCGTCAAACATACAAGCAGAACAGAGATTAAGACTCACTGGTCGTCATGGGACGGCTGCGACGACGTGCCGGCGCGCGTGGGGATGGGGAACAGCTGCATGGTCCGGGAGTCCGTCTCCTCCGCCTCCACCAGCTGATGCCGCCGGTGCTCTCTCAGCATGTACTGCCGCAGGAGTTCGCACGTGACGGTGAACCTGCTGTTACTGCCAGTGGCCTCCATCTATCTCCTCCTCGCGGCTCGCGCCTCTCGTCGGTGAACACTGGAAAACCGTGCCGTGGGGCACTTGGGAGTGGTGGTGGTTCGGCCTATCTGCCTGCCGTCGTCTCTCTCTAGTAGCTACCTTGCGCGTGCTATATTATACCAGTGGGCCGGGGGCAGAAGAAGACTCTGGGCACGGCTTGTGGTTGTGGTGGGTTTGGTCTCCCTGTGCGCTGGACGAAGAGGGGCAGGCGTGAGTAGAAGCACGTGAAATGCGAGGTAAGAAAAGATCGAGTAGTGGAGCGCCTAGGAAGGCGACGCGGGAGGCCGGCTGCAGCCACAGCCCACAGCCGCCCCCGAGGGAACGCCACTGAATTCCGGGCCGGAACCCAACATGCATCCACCTCGTTTATCAGTACTAACGGTAGCCTACAGCCTTCTTGGGCACACTCGACCGGCTCTATTTGGGCCTTCAAGAATTTCACATGGTCCGATATCTTTTGTATTTGGGCTACGGAAAGGATTTGTAAAGACGGTTAAAATTTATTAATTGATTTATAGAGAACCTGTTTTTGTCTATGTATCCTAAAAGCTAATCTTTGATTTCTAGAGGCGAACAACAAAGTACCATACCTCTAAAGATAGTTTTCTAGAAGTTACAAATCGGCCAAAAAAATAGCAAACATTTTTTTTTCGATCTTGAAAGAATCTTCACTAATAAGGAACCCCACAGCAACACATGTGCGCCGCCTAGGACTTATTAACTCACAAGGCTCGCATGAGCTCCCATGCATAGGGTCACTCGTCACTGTTGGAGGGGAGCTTCCTCCCCAAGGGTCCTCCAAAGCTAACCCTCCTCTATGTATGTGTTGCGCTTTTCAGGCAGGCCAAGGGCCAGAACTGGCGGCCGAAGGTCAAAGGAGTCTTTGGAGAAAGCTTTGGAGAGTAGGTGATCGCAAATGAAGACAGCCCTCGAAAGACAGGCCAAGGGCCCGAGTTGCTTTCGGTGAAACCTTCAAAGAGAAGGTGACTGAAGATGAAGAGAGCCCTTAAGAGGCAGGCCTAGGGTCAATGGAGCCCTCGATGAAACCTTTGGAGAGAAGGAGACCGAAGGATGCTGGAGGTCCTCAGTAGGTGAAGCCTCCTGACCTGTGCTTAGAGGACTCTGGGATCCGCGAAGACTCTGTCCGACCCTAGGGTTGGACGTGCTGTGGTGAAGAATTTGAGGGTTGCGGCCCGAGAAGGAAGGAGCCCAAGAGGGCCCATATTTGTAAAGGAGGGGAATGTTCCCCTATGGCCTTATGTCTGTAACAATAAATAGGGATGAAAAATGGAAATGGATATCCGAACTATCCGATATCTATATCCGCTAAAACTAATATGGATATCCGTATTCATAGCCGTTAATGTGGATACTAAATGGATATATCCGAATCCGCTTTTTAGTGTTTTTCTCTATCGATTTCAGATCTGTATTAAAAAATATCCGCAAAGAAAACAAGGTATCATTAACCTACTTAAAAGTTTTCTCAACATAACAAGTGTCCAATTATTTAATTTTATTATAACTAATAATGCATTGAACCCATTTAATAGTATATCTATAAATAACTTTTAGTATTGATTTAAAATTATTGATGATACATAAAGATTAAATTAATTTTAGTATTTTTCTGATTTAGTTTAATCATAATATATTTGTTCTTTTAAATCATCATAATAGTTTAGTTTATTTATTTATTGATGTAAATTATTTTATATAAATTTATAATTTCATGATAAATGTTTATATAAATATAATAATGATTGATTAATTGATATATTTAATTATTAAATATTTATTGATAACTATATTATTTTCATGTGCTATCCTTGTCTATGTTATATACACAAATGATTTTAATCTATACTTGTGTGACAATGTTTTTTTGTAATTCCAATACTATTGATAAATTAATTGTTTTCTACCATTTTTATTTGAATTTCTTCACTTGATCTATTATTTTATTCAATATTATCCATTATAATTTAATTTACTTCGATATTGGAGATTATTAGAAGTGTACTTTCATTTAGTTCACTTTAGTTAACGAAGTACTTAGTAGTAAAATTTTATTCATGTATGTTAAATTTAACAATATACATTTTGAGTTGGCTTGAGTAAATATCCGAATAGAAATTCAAATCCGCGACATCCGTTTTGTATTTGTATTCGAAAATATCCGAATCTGTATTCGTATTCGAATTAAAATGTGATAAAAGGTGATATCCGAATCCGATTCCATGCGGATTTGATCAGTTTCCATCCTTAACAATAAAGATCCTAGGAATATCATGTAGCAGGTAGAGAGCATTCCCAGAATGACAAAAAGGTATATACCCATATCCTATAAAAGGAGAACAAAGCAATAGTAAAGAAGAGAATTCATTGCCCCACCAATCACTTTGTCACTAGCCTCGTAATCCATGATCCTATTACAAAGTTCCGAACCTAGACCATAGGCTAGTCTCAATGGGTTTTATGGCGTTGTTTTCGTGACTGTCCAAGCAGTCACTCTTAATGCAAAGTTTCATTCTATAATTTTCTATGCATTTAATTTCATGACTCATAAAGAGCTAGTAGTCGTGCCAAGAGAGTCTCATCTAGATAAAACTCATTTCTTCTCTTTTTTAAATACATTGTCATGTCATAAAAAATGCCTATGTGACAAACTATTTAATTAATACAAATGAAACTCATATGAAACTCTCACTGAAATAGGTCTTAGGGAGAGGCTAGATCAATAGTCACCAGCCAATTGTGGAATGCTATACTTTTTCCATTAACTTTCATGAATGTTGTAATATATATTTGGCCTTAAACAATTTTAAATGAAAAAGTTTGAACTATAAGGTTTAAAATCTCCAGCACTAAAACTTTACTTTAGAGTCTCTCCACGTCGTTTAAAAAGTTGTTAAAAATTTGAAAATTTTAAAATATAAGAACTTAAAACAAGATTTTTGGGACCCTAAATGATTTCAAATGAAAACAACATCAACTACAAAGTTGTAGATCTCTTTGAGTTCTTAAACTTTGATGTAATGTTTGTCTTAATCTAACTCGATTTGATGAGTAGATCTATGCTGTAGTTTTAGATTAGTAGATCTCCACACCTACGCACGCACCCTCCACCTCAACAAATTCAATCAAGTGGAAGTGTGAGGACGTTGGGTCAAAACCGAAGCGAGCCTGATTGACAGAACAGATGCTATGTGGTAGTACATGCTATTTGTGGGTCGCCGAATTGCAGACAACGTAGCGTCGTAATCCATCAGACCCAGCACACCAGCAAAGGTTGAGGCCGCTGCAACAATTTGAGACTAGGACTTTTTGAAGGGGGAAAGGAAAGAAGGACAAGGAGGGCCGTTCACCGGTGAAGCTGGTGAAGTGGCGATTGCCCTTCCACCAGCTGCTATAGAAGAAGCCAATGACAGTCTATGAAAGCTTCTTACGGTGATAGGAGTCGGAGATGACGCATTCCAGGAGCGACAGACACGCTTGCAGTAGCACAAGGACCGGACGGGGAGGTAGCGGAAGATATCGACAAGCACATCGTCTGAGAGGCTGTCCACTACGTTCCTCATGTTGGGGGCCTCCTTCATCTAGAAGGACACCACCAGCCAAAGAGATGAGGCCACCCTGCTATGGAATTGCATCAATAAACATTAGTAAGGAGATGAGTTTCGAGGAGAAGGGACGACGATGCAAGTAAGACCTTATTACACTTGCCTTTGGATCTGACGACAGTGAGCACGAGTGGCAATGCCAGTGACAGCAGCAGCTTGTTCGCCAGTGGATCTGTGCAGGCACTCCGGCGATGTGCACTGGCACAGAGAAAGAGCTGAGAAGTGCTGATAGGCAGGAGCGGCGATGACGAACAACAGCAATGAGGAAAAGAAAAGCTATGTGTGTTGGGGGGAGGGAGGGCGGTGGCGGGGTGGGGGTGGGTGTTAGGGGGGATGTTGGAGTAGGGGTTGCTTGCTCTCTATGTAATTTTTACAGCACGCGAGAATCGAACTTTCATCAGTTCCGCATGGGAGGGTTCAAACGCGGGATTGGAAATTTTGTAACTAAGCGGCAGTGAATGCATAGTACCATCACCGGCGGCTAGGTCCTATTACCACCCGGAGGTCTCCGTATGATACGATGATGAACACTAAGGCACACAATCTTAACGCTTGTCATTGAAACAAAGCGAAACAACACACTTAGAAAACTAAGAAAAGCACAATTCCAGTACTCAGATTTAAAGGAAGCCAACTTGAGTTCGATGGTGAATAATAAGGCACATGGATTTACATTGAAAGAAAGCCAAAACACACACTTAGAAAACATAAGGAAAGCACAATGCCAGTACTCTCGAATTGAAAGGAAACCAATTTGAGTTCCATACATGCATACCGAATAAGTAGGTGGACACTACCAAGCTAACAAGCATGCCGAAAGCTAAAATGCAGATACTAATTAGGCTGACACTATTCAAAAGTTAAGAGGCCTTCATATGTACATCATTGGTTGCATAATTAATCATTCTCCATGCAGATCCTAGTCGACCTCCATGGGATCATTGTGAATCTCCATAAGATCCTGCAGATCGTTGTCGACCTCCATGGGATCATTGTCAATCTCCATGTCATCTCGAGCCTTGACCACTACAACCCTGTCCACATCCATTGGTACACTTTCATTTAGCTCATCGACTTTGTTCATAAAGCACTGATTCGGTGAACCAATACTGAGGACAATAAGGCTCATAAGCTGCACTCCACGGATATACAAGGCCACAAACTATAGAACGAGAAGACGCATTTTCATCTGTAGATCCAACAAAATTATTGTAGCTAGGTTTGAGGTGAAGGAGCAGATCTAGTGCAGTTACCTTAGATCCGGATGGAGCAGAGAAGCAGGGATGGCGCGCTGAAGATTTGTGCGTCGGTGAGGTTGGAGGTGAAGGAGCAATGAGCACATGAGAGGCTGCCTT